CGGGTCATGGGGCCTGAACTCTGGGTCTGGGTGCTGTCCCTCAGCTCTTCAGCTCAAGGCTAGTGCTCTACCACTTGAGCCATAGCACCACTTCCGGCTTTTTTCTTATTGCTTATGTGGTGCTGGGGAATCGAACCCAGGGCCTCAGGCATGCAAGGCAAGCGCTCTACCACTGAGCCACCTTCCCAGCCCCCTAGTGTCTTTTTATTCCCAGATAAAACAGTTATTCTGAAACTTGTGAACCATTTTCCCATAGAAATGGGTGTTATAGGTTGGCAAAGACATATTTGAGCTGGCATATATAAAACTACTACACATTTATGTTCTGTGTTTGCTATTGAACAAAAGTAGAGTGTTAGCTTTTTGTGTTTTCCCCATAAATGCACTGTTTTTTCTAATTACAAATCCCTTCTACCCTATTTAAGTTCCTTATTCTCTGGTTCTTGTGCCCACTCATGATCAGCATCATAAGTATCTACCTTATTTTAAAAATCATAAGGAAACTTTAAAAAAAGAAATAAAACGTGAAAAACAGAAAGAAACAAACAAAAAGTACCTATTTTTCTCTAACACATAGTCAGCCCTGACATAGAGTCTCTTTTCAGTGTGTTACAGACTTGGGATGAGAACCAGCTTGCATAGTGCCACAGATAGACATAATGACATTTTGGACACTAGCGTCATATAGTGACAGGGTTCCACATTATAAAGGACACAAGTACAATATTGGTCTTTTATGCCCATGGTTCTGCTGCTCATTATCCTCTGTTCCTTTTTCATTTATGTAAATAGGTTTCTCTCCATTGTTTCAATTCACTATGGACTCAAAAAACAGAAAACCTGATATTTTCAAATAAAAAATATCTAAAATGCAGTTTCTTTTGTTTGAGATTTCTATGTCTGCTATATATGTTTCATCTTATATTTTATTTGACTGTCTAGAAACATATATGTATTTATATATATACATGTTTGTTGTCATATTGGTTTTATACTCACTCTTCAGTATCAATTCCAAGTAAAGGAACAGGTAAGACTTCTGAGAGGTCCACACTAAGAGAAAATAAATAGTGAGGCATGACACAAAGTTTTAATACACATTTTTGGCCAAAGAGCTAGCAACTCTAGACATGAATTTGTTGGGCTTCAGCCATTCATGTGTTCATATCTGTATCTATCCTTAGTTCATCATTTGTTACAACTACATCTTTGTAAGAAAATAACAAATATCCTAATTCTTTTGAAAACAGTAAACATTTCACACTTGGAATAGTTATCTGGTTTTATCACAGACTGGCATAGGGCATTTACTTCACATTTCACTACAGTTATACATATGAGAAATTCACAAGAATTACCAGTCTAAACTCATTACATCATTTACTTTAATTCATCAAGTGTTTTTACTGCCAGTAACATAAAGTGAGTCCATAGACTAGATAGGTGAGAGAGAGGGGAGAGGGAGATCCATCTCCATCAACAGGCAGCCAAAAAAAACCCATAAACAATAAATTAACAAAGGGCACATAAAAACAAAACAAAAAAAACCCCAGAAAACAGCCGTTATTGTTAGCTCAAACCTATAATCCTAACTACTCAGTAGGCTGAGATCTGAGGATCACAATTTGAAGCTAGACCAGACAGGAAAAGTCCATGAGACTCTTATCTCTATTTAATCACAGAAAAAGCCAGAAGTGGTGTTGTAGCTCAAGTAGTAGAGTGCTAGCTCTGAGCAAAAGGCTAGATAGCACCTAGATCTATAGTTCAAGGATCAGGACCAAGAAAAAAAAAGGATAATGTGAAGAATATCAGAGGTAGAATACTTACTACAGATACTGATCATCTAATGGATTAAACTTAAAAACCCTTACTCTAATGATAACTCTCTAGAAGCCACTCATTTTGTAAGTAAAGATTTACAAAGACTTAATTGAAGCAAGGGAAGAGCATTTTCCCTGGAAAGGAAAACAGGAACAATCAAGAGTCCCTGTGTTTCTTTGAAAAAAAGAGATTCTGTATCAAAAGCTGGATAATAATAATAAAGAACAAAGACAGACATTATCCAAAAAATGGAAAATAGTAATTTTAAACATACAGGCATTCACTACAAGACAAAGCTTCTACATAAAACCAAAATCTTTCAATGCAAAAGGAGACATAGACTCAAATATGATGGAAGTTGGGAGAGCCAATACCAACTGTTAACCAGGAAGGATCATTCAGACAATAAGTCAATCACAAAACATCACAATATACTCTAAACCAAAGTGGTCTAAGAGACACTTAAAACATTTCATCCAAAGGGGAGACCTTGATCAAGATGCACTGTGTTCATAAACTGATGGATTGAATGGTGACCTCTTTGTACAGCACTTCAGAATTTTGCTCTTCTCCTTTTACTGGGCCAATCCCCAGGATAAATGGTTCTTTGTGCAATAAACCATTTTCCAATAAAGTTTCAAAAGTTGAAATTGTTCTCTGTATCAACCACATCAATGAAACAAAAGTAGAAAACAAAGACATAAGAAATTATATAAACACATGCAAGTTACATGATATCTACTCAACTTGAGATAATTCATAAAAAATAAACTTTCTCAAACGAATGAAAATGAAAACAGAGTATTGCAAACACACTCATTTCCACATGTAAGCTCCAAGTAAATCCCAAAGAAATACTAGGAGGAATAGCAATCATGGCATGACCAAGGCATGTGAGGAGAATCAAGAGGATGTTAATAAAGAAAGATGTGTTTGTAAATAGAATAATTCCCTCAACAGCAAAGGCTAGAAATCATGAATTCACAAATGTTAAAATATCAAGTGAAAATACTATTGGATATTCTGACAGAAACCAATGATAAATAACTAAGATCATGGCAATGCTAATTATGCAATCTGATCATCACACTTAGTGGACCAAGTGTTTAAACTCTTACAGTACACACTAGACACATGTCCACCTACTACACGTCAGTAAAAAGGAAAACATATTTTTTAAAAGCTAAGCCAGAATCACATTTGTACAAATGAAGCAAAATGGTACAATGCTGTGACCACATGCCACAAGGAGAGGATAAAGAAACACGAACAATGACATTCTGTATTGCAATTCATCTCACCATAAATTTCCAAATTCATCTTCACCTTTCTTGATGTGTTGTTGTAGGAGCCAGATTTCATACAGATGAATTATAAGTACATGTTCATGAACATATATATATAGTCCATCCATTTCACTTCATGTCTATTTTATGGATTCATTTATCTCTCACTTTTTTATTTTATTATGAAAATACCATACAGAGGAGTTACAATTACATGGGGCTCTCACCTTTTATTTAGAACTAACATCTCTTGTGCCCATTCATCTGAAGGCCTGTGGGATTTAAAGTACATAGACTCAGACACCACATGATTGCTATGCTTCACATTCTGCTTCTACTTACTCTGCTGCTTATATATGTTCATGGAATTTCATTCTCTTGTAAATCAGTTTTTGAGACTTCACTACTTTTCAGTAGAGGTTAGTTTTTATAGATTCATTATCACATGTTATTGGGAAACAGTGCAATTCAAACTTTCTGTTCTATATTTCACAAATATATTAAATCGAATGTCACATTGTTATGGTTTTAGTTTCTCCCAATTCAACTCAACTGCATAGGTAAAAATCCCTTCTACTCTAGGTAATTCTCTGCTGCACAAGTCTATGCACATTTCTTATGTTTGTGATCCTAACACACAAAATTTTAAAAATCACAGGTCTCTGTGAACAAAGTATGCAGGGTTTCAGTTGAAAACCAACCACCCATGTGGCAGCTCTATATTAATAATAGTTTGGGGCACCAGCCTTACATAGTGACAGAGCCCTATATACAAGGAACACATGTATCATCTCTGGTATGTGATGCTCAGGTTGTACTGCTCCCTAGCTATCCCTTCCTCTGCTATGCTACAAATAGGATTGCCTCCATTGATCCAATCCATTATAAACTCACAAATAGGAAGCCTGATGTTTTTAAGAGACTGCTTGTTATTAGAAGTAACAAAAAGACTTACTACAGTAGATTACAGATTCTAATAGCCTTGTCCTTTCTGACCCCATGTGAGCATAATAGAAATCATTTACATAACTCTCAGTGGAACCATCTAAATAGACTTTCAAAGATACAGTGTAATCTCAAGGTTCTTTGGAAGATAACTTTACAAATGCCAATCCTGTTTCACCACCTTTTCCATCTTTGTTACTGCAGTTGGATGACAGGGCATCCTCCTTGCTGGCTAGGCAAGTGATTTACCACCTCAGCGATGGCCCAAGTCCTTTTTTGCTTTAACTATATTTTCAGATAAGGTTTTCCTTTTAGGTCTGGAGGAGACTTTAGACAATGATCTGATTACCTAATTTCCTGGGGAGGGGGGGGGGAGAATACAGCTGTTAGTCCATATCAGGCTCATTGGTTGACATGAGGCTCAATTATTCAACTACTGGACAAGCTGTCTTCTAAATGAGATTACCCCAAGTTTCCACTTCTCAGACAGCTAGTGTTAAAGGCATTTGTGACAAGCAGACCCTTCAGACATTTCTGACAGACATTTCAATTTTACTAGTACTGCTGCTGTTTGAACACAGGGTCTTTCACATTCTGATACTCTCTGTATCACACTAGCCCCAAGTCTTTTCTATTTTTGTTTCTTTTGTCCGAGTTCAGTTGCAGACATATGTTTGCAAACACATATGTGTCCATATGTCTGTCCATACATACATACAGGAATATATACATATATACTTAGGTGTTTATATAGTTGGCATAAACACTCATGTAAGTGGCATACACACTGTCTATCCATATACTTTATGTGTTTATTTGTATCTCACCTTTCTCGACCATATGCACATTCATAAGGAGATGGCCTATAGGAGTTAAAAATACACATAGTGAGATCTCATATGACTTCTTAGAATTCACATTCTACTTTCAATTACTCTGCAGATCATACACAAGTGGACTTTAATTTTTTGACATAACTTTCATTCTCTTCTCAGTCTATATTTGGAATAAAATAATCTACAAACCTCTCAGTTAAAACATTAAAACACCTGGTCAAAGATCTTCTTTTCCTTTCCCTCCTAGTCTGTGTTGGTTTTATTTGTTTCATGTCATTTTTCTTTTTCTTTCTTTTTTTCTTCCTTCTTTCCTCCCATTTTTTTCTCTTCTTCCGTCATTCCTTTTTCCTCCCTTCCTCACTCTCCCTTATTCCCTTATTTCGTTCTCTGTATGGGGTGCAGAGGATACTGCGGTTTGAAGACAGATCCCTTGTTTACTAGCCAGGTGCTCTACACCAATACCCTGGTCTCATTCCTTGGTGCTGTTCTAGAGATGTTTGTCATAGAGTTTGCTGTTTGGAAGAGGTCTGACCCTATAACACAATCTCCTAAGTTTCCTAGTAGCTGAGATCTCAGGCCGGAACTACTCTCCTTTTTGATTGAGATTTCTATGTATGTTTTGTGCTATGTATGTTTCATCTCAAATTCTACCTGTCTAGACACATGTATGCATGAAAATATATACATGTTTAGTTGTCATATTGGTTTTATACTCACTCATCATCTCCAATTCCAAGGAGAGGAACAGGTAAGACTTCTGAGAGGTCCACGCTGAGAAAATAAATAGTGAGACATGACACAAAGTTTTAATACACATTTTTGGCCAAAGAGCTAGCAACTCTGGACATGACAGGTTGAGCTTTAACTACTTAGGTTCATACTTGGATCTGTACTTAGGTTATCACTTATTACAATTACATATTCTAAGATAATAACATATCCTAAGGCCTGTGAAATTAATAAACATTTCTCATTTGGAATATTTTTATAGTATTACCATAAACATTACCATGGGACATCTATTTTACATTTCACTATAGGTTGTAGATATGAGAATTCCAGAGATATTACCAACTCTAAAGTCATTCCATCATTTACTTTCATTTGTCAAGTGCTATTACTGCCAGTCTCATAGGGAAAATACATAGACCAGATAGACAAAAGAAGAGAGATTCAAACCTGATCAATGCACTCAGCCATAAAACAATGAATATGAACAAGAAAGGCTCAAAGAGACAGGAAAAAGTTACAATAACGTTAGGAATATGTCTTTACTAAACATGCAGAGCCAAACCTTATTACAGATAGAGACTGTCTACTGGATTAAATTTAAATACCCTTGACCCAATGATACACTTACTACTAGACACTTATTTCACCAGTAAAGACTTAGAAAATGAGCTGGGTACCGGTAACTCATGCCTGAAATCCTAGCTATTCAGGAGGCTGAAATCTGAGGATTGCGGTTCAAAGCCAGCCTGGGCAAGAACATCTGTGAGACTCTTATCTCCACTAAACCACTCAGAAAACCGGAAGTGGTGCTATGGCTCAAGTGGTACAGCACTAGCCTTGATCTGAAGAGCTGAGGGACAGTGCCCAGGCCCAGAATTCAAGCCCCATGACGACAAAAAAAAAAAGACTTAGAAAACAAAAATTGAAGCAAGCAAAAAGTATTTAACATGCAAATGTATATCAAATGTAGTAATTTTTCTATATGAGAAAAAATAGAAAGACAGTATTACATTATCTAAAGATGGTCAATGGGAAATAATTGTAAATATACAGGCACTCACTGAAGGATAGTGCTACTACATAAAACCAGCATCATTCACTGTAAAATGAGACCTAGACTGAAACACAATAGGAGTCGGCAGCATCAATATCAGCTGTTACCATGAAGGATCATTGAGACAATAAGTTAATCACAGAATATCACTATTTACTATACATCAAATTGGTCTAAAATACATTTGTAGAGGTGACATCAAGCAAGATGTATTTTACTCATAAACGAATTGGTTGAATAGCAATTCCTTTGTACAATACTTCCAAATAATGCCGTCCTCTTCCTTTGTGGAGAATTCTTTAGGATAGACTACCAACAAATCATTTTTCAATAAAGTATTAAAATGTGAAATTATTATCAATGAAATAATATCACCAATGAAATAAAATAAGAAGGATTTTAGAAATTAGATGACCAAAGGACTGATGAAGAAATCATAAAGGAAACTAAACTTTCTGAAATTGATGAAAATGAAACATTGTATTCCAAAAAAAATCTCACTTCCACTGGCAGTTTACAAATTGATCTCAAAGAAATCCAAGATAGAAAAGCGGTCACGGCATGACCAGAGTATGTGAGGAGAATGGAAAGGAATGTTAATACAGATATGTTTATGAGCAGAAGGAATAACTCCTCCAATAGCAAAGAAGGACATCTAGGCTATAAATTATGATTACAAAAATTTCAAATATAAGGGAAAATAATATTAAACATTCTGTCAGAAACCAATGATACATAATTAAGATCACAGAAATGCCAATTATGCAATCTGATCATCACACTGTGTACTGTGTTGAACTCTTACACTACATATACATACAGCCATCTACGACATGTCATTTAAAAGCAAAACATATTTATAAGAGCTAATCAAGAATCACATGTTAAACATTTATCCAAATAAGGCAAAATGTACAAAGGTATGACTACATGCCATAATCAGAACATGAAGAAACAAAACTAGTGAATTCTGTACTGAATTTTTTCTCACCATTAATTCCCCAAATTCATCTTCACCTTTCTGCCTGTTTTTATATGTGCCAGATGTCATATATATGTATTGCATGTGCATGTTTATGTACACATATATACATGTTGTATGTTATATTTAGGATATCTATCTATCTGTCATTTAGCTCTCACCTTTTATTTAGAATTAACATCTCTTGTGCCCATTCATCTGAAGGCCTGTGGGATTTAAAAGTACATAGACTCAGACATCACATGATTGCTATGCTTCACATTCTAGTTCTACTTACTCTGTAGCTTATATGCTCCAGTGGAATTTCATTCTCATGTAAATAAGTTTTTTGAAACTTTACTACTTTTCAACAGAGGTTAGTTTTTATGGATTCATTAGCATGGGAAATGATTCAAGCTTTCTGCTCTATAGTTCACAAACATAAAATGAGAGTGCCACACTGTTATAGTTTTAGTTTCTCCCAGTTCAACTCTAGTGCATAGGTAAAAATTCCTTCTACTCTAAGTAGTTCCCTACTGTATAAGTTCCCTGCACACACTTCTTATGTTCATCATAACAGTCTACCTTGCTTTAACAAAAAGTATAATCCTGAAGCAAGGGCTCTGAACAAAGTGTGAAGGGTTTCAATTGAGAACCACCCATCCACATGGCAGAGCTCTATATTAATAAGGATTTGGAGCACCAGCCTCACTTAGGGACAGAGCCCTGGATGATGAGGGACACATGTTTCATCTACGGTATGCAGTGCTCAGGATGTACTGCTCTATATCTATCATTTCTTCCTCTTTGCTCCAAACAGGATTGCCTCCATGGGTCCAGTCCAATAAGACTCACAAATAGAAGCCTGGTATTTTCTAAGAGATTTTGTTATTAAGAGTAACAAAAGGAATTTGCTACAGTAGATTACAGATCCTAATAGCATTTTCCTTTCTTACTCCATTTGATTGAAATATAGAAATCATCTACAGAATGCTCAGTGGAAACATCTATATAAAATTTCAAAGATACATTGTACTCTCAAGGTTCCTCAAAGGATAACTTTACAAATTCCAATCATGTTTCCCCCTTTGTTTTATTAGTTGGTACTGCAGCTGGATGTCAGGCTAAGCAAGGGCTCTACCATCTGAGCTATGACCTAAGTTCTTTGGTGCTTTAAACATGTTTTCAGACAAGGTCTTCATTTTAGGCTGGAAGTGACCTCAGATCACAATCTGATTTCTTATGCTGTTATAAGGAGTGGGGGAAACACACCAGTGAGCTCACATGTCAGGCTCATTGGTTTAGGAGAGGGTCTCAATAACTGTTCACAAAATGGCTTGTAAATGAGATTAATTGCAGGTTCCACTTTCCACATAGCTGGCATTAAAAGCATGGATGACAAGAACCACCTTCCTGATAGATAGGTCCTTAATTTTACTAGTGGTACTGCTGTTTGAACACAAGGTCTTTCATGTTCTTACACTCTATATATCTATATCACACATACCACCAGTCCTTGTTTGCTAGTATTGTTTGTGTCCAAGTATTTAGTTCACGGCATAAGTATGTAAATATGAATGCATCTGTACATATATATGTATACATATATATTTATACATAGGTATGTATATTATTGGCATAAACTTCTACATGTACACTTTTCTATCCATATATATATATAATGGGTGTATTTGTATCTCACCTCTCACGACCCTTACAAATTTCGTATGGACATGGCCTATAGGGGAAAAAAAATACATACAAATCAGATATCACAGGAATTCACATTCTGGTACAAATTATTCTGCAGATCATACACTAGTGTAGTTTTATTTAAGTTTTACATATATCTGTTTCTCTTCTCACCCTTTATTTGGAACAAGGATAGCACTAAAGTTTCAGGTCATTAAAGAGGCATACTTGGTCATAAAATACTGACAATAACATGAACCACTTTTTCATAGAAATGAGTGTTATTGATTGGTAATGGACATATTTAGTCTGGGAGAATACAAAACTACTGAACACTTATGTTCTGTGTTTGCTACTAAACAAAAGTAGAGTGTGTTTCGCCATAAGTGCACAAATCTCTTCTACCCTATCTAAGTTCCTTATTGGCCAGTCCTTGTGCCCTCTTCTTATGTCCAGCATCATAAATACCTATCTGTCCTAACGCATGGTCAGGCTGAGGTAGGGTCTTGTATAGTGTCAGAGCTAGACAGAATGACTTCACATAGTGACAGAGTACTTTATTATAAGGGACACTTCTATGAGCTAGATCTTTTATGCACACGGTTCCCTTGTTCATTATCCTCTGTTTTTCTTTTTCTTTCCGTTGTTCATTATCCTCTGTTTTTCTTTTTCTTTCTTGCAAACATGATTCCTCCTTTGATCCAATCCACCAGAGACTCAAAAGTAGCAAACCTGATATTTGCTAAAGGAATACATTACCAAAATGACCAACATAGTAGAAGCATACTTCTCATGACCTATTTCTTTCTTATCATCACTGATGTTATGCTAACAGAAAATTAACCACAAATGTCTCGTGAAAGCACTTAGGACACCTTGTTAAAGAAAATAAGGGACTTTGGGGCTGGGAAGGTGGCTCAGTGGTAGAGCGCTTGCCTTGCATGCTTGAGGCCCTGGCTTCAATTCCTCAGCACCACATAAGCAAAAGGAAAAAAAGCCAAAAGTGGTGCTGTGGCTCAAGTGGTGGAGCGCTAGCCTTGAGCTGAAGAGCTGAGGGGCAGTGCCCAGGCCCAGAGTTCAGGCCCCACTACCAGACCCCCCCCAAAAGAAAGAAAATAAGGGACTCTTTTCAGGGTGATTTCACACATCTTAACCCCTTTTTCCTTTCACTCCTATTCTGAGTTTGGTTTTTTAAATTTGTTTCTTCTCTTTTCTTTTTCCTTCCATTCTCTTCTTTCTTTTCTTCTTTTCTCCTTCCTTCCTTCCTTCCTTCCTTCCTTCCTTCCTTCCCTTCCTTCTTTCCTTCCTTCCTTCCTTTTCTTCCTTCCATCTTGACTTCTTACTTCCTTCACTCCCGACTTACTTCCTTATATCATTCTGTTTTGGGGGACAGCAAATTGCTCTGGTTTGAATATAGATCCTTTATCTACTAGCCAGTTGCTCTAACACAGCGTCACAGCTTTATTTTTGATGCTAATCTAGGGAGTTTTTGATAAGGATTCCTGTTTGGATCAGGTCTAACACTAGATTAACATCTTCCTAAGATGTTTCCTAGTAGCTGAGATCTCAGGCCTGCAACACTCTTTTTTGTTCAATTCTTTTAACATCTCTATGTCTGTGTTATGTGTATGTATGTTTCATCTCATACCGTCATATGTTTCATCTCTGACTGTCAAGAGACATGTATGTGTTGAGTATATAAACATATTTAATGGTCATATTGGTTTTGCACTCACTCATCAGTTAGTATTCCAAGGAGAGGTACCGGTAAAACTTCAGAAAGATCCACGCTAAGAGAAAATATATAGTTAGGCATGTCACAAAGTCTTAGCACATATTTTTAATCAAAGAACTAGCGACTCTAGACATGAACAGGTTGGGTTGTAGATACTCATGTTCATATTTCCATCTGTACATAGTTCATCATTTATTTACAACTGAATCTTTAGAAGATAATAATAGATCCCAATGCCTGTGAAATTAGTAAACATTTCACCTTTTGAATAGTTCTCTCTAGTATTACCATAGACTGGCATGGGGAATTTATTTCACATTTCACTACAGGTTTTACATATGAGAACTCCACAGATATTAGCAATTCTAAGGTCAGTCTTTCATTTACTTTCATCTTCAAGTGCTTTTTACTGCCAGTCACATTGGGTGAGTCCATAGACCAGATAGGAAAAAGAGACAGGATTTAATCTGTAACTGTAGAGACAGCCATAAAGCCATAAAGTTGAATGTGAAGGAACAAAGGACACATTAAAAAAACAAATAACATACAACTTGAGAAATATGTATTTAGTGAACCATAAGAGCCCTAACTCTATCTTAGTTACAGATTGTCTAATGGATTAAACTAAAAAACCCTTGACCCAATGATACACTTCCTACTAGACATGTATTTTACCAGTAAAGTCTTAGAAAGACTGAAATTAAAGCAATAGGACTGCTTTACATTTCCTGAAAACATAAACCAGCAGCAATCATAAGTCACAGTATTTATACAAGAAAAAACAGCCTCTGTCACAAAAAATCCCCTATATAATGATACAAAGAAAGACAGGACATTATTCAAAAAGTGTCAGTAGAAAACAATAATTTTAAATAGACAGTCACTCATTGAAAGACAATGCTACTATATAAAAACCAACATCATTCAATGTAAAAGTACATATCAACT